TTTTTGTTATCATTATTAGTTCATAGCTTGTTAAAGCTGTGATTTGTGTTGTGCGATTAATAGGTCCAAAGTTGATGATTTGGGAAATTATTAATCATGATTCTTATTTTTACTAGTTGTAAATTATATCTGTAAATTAAAATTGATTTTTGTTGATTTTATTACAAATTCTTAAATGAACCTGGTTCATACTAATTTATTGTGGACCACTAACATTAGACACACTATGATTTTTTTATTAATAAAAAAAAAATCACTCATTGTGGTATTATAAAGCCTATAAGAGGTTTTTTTTTAATGAAATTTTTTATATACTGGTCAATATGAATAATGAAGGTCATTATGTTAAAATTAGGGTCATTATGTTCAAGATAAGGGTCACTGTATTCAATATAATGCCAGTTACATGCATGCGTATAAACCTCAGGTCCACACAAGTTATTTCTTGATTTGATAAAACGTACGAGATTGTAATAAATTATTGAATTTCTTGATTACTACGGAGTTTTTTTTTTTTTTTTTTTTTTTTTTTTTTTTTTTGCTTTCTAGGTTATATTTATAGACACGTACAACTGTACAAGTAGAGTATGTACTCCCTACATGACTTGCTAGTTTTTTGTTATTTTGACTAATGGATAAAGATATTTTATAATAAGTAAACCGATATAATAAAAATCAATCTAGTTTGTGAGTATTCCCATTCCAGTATTTTTGACTTAATATGATGCTATAAATAATAAGTAATAATATGTTAAAATAAGGTCAAGAAACATAGCCTTAAAGTGGGCTCTTCTTGGACTGTTGATTATTGTGCAACAAAATTTCATTAAATCCCAATAATTTAGGAATAGGATATGCATAAACCAAAATCCAAAATCAAAGAAAGACAACATATATTATGGTGCAAAATTATTAAATACTTGTATATGTTTTTATGGGTGCATTAGTAGCAAGTTGATTATAAATATTATGTAGTCGACATGAGAAATGAAATAACGATAAGATATCAATGCCGAATTTCAATAAAGTAGAATTTTGAACCTAATTATTATGACTGAAGTTCATTAGAAAAAAAAAAACCAAAACAATTGTGATTGATAAGGATCGACGAAAGATGAGATGTTTCTTCCCTGCTCCGTCCATAAGACCATAATCCATGTTTGAGCTAAAGCATACACGTGTAGTCTTTCTTTTCCACAAACAAATTTCTAGTAGTATATAATTTTAGAATCGATTAAATAATTCTTATAAAATTATACTCTGTCAAGCCTAATATTGTATAGATAATGAGCTAATATTATTGGCCCTAATTTCTTGTTAGGTTGTGTATATATATATATATATATATATATATATATATATATATATATATATATATATATATATATATATATATATATATATATATATATATATATATATATATATATATATATATATATATATATATATATATATATATATATATACTTGTTCATACACTAATACAACTAAGGAAAATCAATTCCTGATATGATATCGGAGCCTCTAAATTTCTAAACCCTAAATTTTTTTACCTCTCTAAACAAAAAAAAAAAAAAAAAAAAAAAAAAAAAATCTCTTTTCTAACACTCTACTGCTTGATCAACAATGGATGATGAAGGCAAGATTGGTTCTTTTTCTCACTTCTACAATCAACAAAGTACTTTGAAGTATGATAATTCTCTATCGAAGCAACATGATATATAAGTCGAATTTGTATTGTACCCATTGTCATCGATTGGCTCACGATTATACTGCTTATTTTTGGTCCATGGCTACCCTGATTGGTGGCTTATAAAATACGACAACCAAGGGAGAGCTTCTCCAACAAGTCTGGTTGTCGCTGCCTCATTCACTACTCCCTTTACTGTCGCCGCTCACACGCCGCTTGTTGTTGTCTTTGCTCACGCTACGGCAGCATCATACACTAATCTCACCACCAATTGTTCGCCAAACATGAGGATCGGTGATTATTTTTCTTTGTCTTGTATTATTGACACAGGTGCCTCTTATCATTTGACGGGTCACTAGTCCTCTCTACTAGATGTTCAATCCATTCTACCATGCCCTGTTAGCCTTCCCGATGGTGCTCAAGCAGTTGCTACAAAGGAGGGTCGTGTTTTCTTGGCGGATGGAATTATTCTTGAACATATCTTATTTGTTCCTAAATTAAATTGCAATTTGATATCGGTCTCTAAATTGATTGATGACACTTATTGTTATGTACGATTCACTAATTCTTTATGTGCTATACAGGATCAAAACTCGGGGAGCCTGATTGGAGGCAGTGAACGAAGTGAACGAATAGATAGAGTCTACTATTTCTGGCGTATCCCAAATGTATGTGCGGTCACAGGTCCGGAGGTCTCTACATTTGAGTTGTGGCATCCACGTTTGGGGCATCCGTCAGAAAAAAAATTGTCAAGTTACTCATTGCTATTAGAGGTAGTTCTGGTAGTAAATATTTACATAAGGCATGTGCAATTTGTCCTCAAGCTAAGCAAACCAAGAATAGTTTTCCTATTAGTGATAGTCGTGCTAGCCGTATTTTTAAAATGATACATTGTGATTTGTGGGGGTCGTATAAAACTCCTTCCACCAAGGGCGAAGGGAGGGGGCTGGTGGAGGCCCGGCCTCCCCGGCCTAGATTTGCGGCCCATGATTCATATCTCTTAGCCCCCCTTAAAATTATTATATATAGTATTAAAGACACATATACAAGAATAAATAAAGCTTTTCAAGTTGGTTGGGTAATGATGGCTTTTTCCCAAGGAGGCTGGGTTCGAATCCCATTACTCAAATATTTGGCCAAAGCTCCAAATACACTTAATAACGTGAAATTAATACGAGGCTACTGACGGCAATCATATTTTGAGATTAAACTCATCAATTACCATTGTTCAGAAGCAAATCAACCAAAACATGTATTTTTTAAAATTCTTCTTTTTGATTAATTTTTTTAAAATATGTAATTTCATTCAATTAATAAATTTCTTATTTTTATATACATGATTGTGATTAGTTGTTTACTTGGTTAATATGTTTATTTATTTAATAATTTTGGCTAATTTTTAATTTATTGAATGTACCTTTAGTATTAAATTTTAGGGTTATATGCTACTTAATTGATATTTGTTGTTTTTATATTGATATAGGTTAATCATGAAATCAAAAACACTAGTTTTTTTTACAAAAAAGTTAATAATCAACAAGAAGAGGGTTCCACTTCAAAGGCAAATTTGAATCCCGAAAGTAATTTGAGTGATGATAATGAGCAAAACACAAGTTTTGAGGGGCAAAAAAGATCTACTATTTCAATTCCCGTAACTAAGAACCCGCAAAAGGTTCCAAGAGTTGAAACATATGATATAATACCTCATGTACTCTTGAGCGTAATCCCGGACTACGCAAACAAATTAGTGACTATCATCCCAATGAGCATGAGCAAATAAGAAGGGAGTATCTTAGACTAAAAGCGTTTCAACCCATTCAAGATGATTATCCCTATTCTGGGTCAGAAAAAACATCGTTGTTCATTTCAGTCAACGCGGTTTAAACAATTTCCTTGGTTAGAATATTCTCCATCAAAAGATCCTGCATTCTGTTTTCCATGCTTTCTTTTTACAAATAAAGCAACCAGATGTTTTACCCATGATGGGTTTACTAATTGGAAAAAAGTGAATAGTGGAAAGAATTGTTCCTTTTTGAATCATATGGGAAAAGTAAGGTCCGAATTCCTAGCACAATAAGAATCAAAAAGCGTGTGATGACTTGTTGAATACAAAGCAACATATTCAACCAGCACTTTTAAGGCAGACAGAAGAAGAAATTAAGAATAACAAGTTGCAATTAAAAACTTCAATTGATGCAGTTCGTTAGCTAGCATTGCAAAATTATCCATTTAGAGGCCATGATGAGATTGTAAACTCTAAGAATCAAGAAAACTTTCTTGAGTTAATAAAATTTATAGTCTCATACAACAAACATGTGAACAAAGTCGTTTTGCAAAGTGCTCCAGGTACTCATTATAACTTTTTTTTAGAGAATTTGTATTTTTATTCATTGCTCCCATACATTATTTAACTAACATTATATTTTTTGGGAATGCTTCATATACGTCATCCACAATTCAAAAGGAGATTTTGGAAATTTTAGCGAAAAAAGTGTAAGATAAAATAAGAAAGGAAATTGGAGAATCAAAATTTTGTGTCATCCTTGACGAATCCCAAGATAGGGAACTAAGAGAACAAATGGAAATTGTTTTAAGGTTTGTTTATCATGATGTAATTTTAAAAGAACGATTTTTTGATCTTGTTCATGTGGAAAACACTTCATCATTAACCTTGCAACAAGAATTATATAAAGTATTGTCTTATCATAACTTGAACCCAAAAAGTATTCGTGGTCAAGGATATGACGGAGCTTCTAATATGAGAGGGGAATTTAATGGTTTGAAAGCTTTAATATTGATAGATTCACCCTATGCATACTTTGTTCATTGTTTTGCTTATCGGCTTCAATTAGCTTTGGTTGGAGCTACAAAAGAAGTGATTCCCATACAACAATTTTTCACTAAATTGGCAATTATAGTCAATATAGTTGATGCATCTTCGAAAAGACATGATGAATTACAAGCTGCACAAAAAGCTGAATTAGCAAACAAGATTGCTAATGACGAGGTTCAAACTGGGAGAGGATTGAATCAAATAGGGAACTTGCAGCGTGCTGCTGATACTCGATGGAAATCTCATCTGAATTCAATCTACAGTTTAGTGAGGACATTTGCTTCTACAGGTACTGTTCTTGTATCCATTATTAAAGAAGGAAATTCTGAACAACGTGCCAATGCTGATGCTGCTTATGATACATTAATGTCCTTTGAGTTCATTTTTATTTTACACTTGATGAGGGAACTTTTAAGGGTGACCGCTAAATAAAGCCAAGCTCTACAATGGCGTGGTCAAGATATAGTGAATGCTATGGGTCTTGTTTCTACAACAAAAGACTTGATACAAAATTTTAGATTGACTGGTTGGGATGATTTGTTTCAAAAGGTTAAGTCTTTTTGTGAGAAGCATAATGTTGATATTCCAGATATGACTACTCTTTACACAGCCGGTAAAGGCCGTTCTCGTTAAGGTGGAAAATAACAATGGAGCATCATTATTGAGTTGATTTGTTTATTGCAGCTTCAGATTTGCAACTACAAGAAATTAATAATAGGTTTGATGAACAAATGATTGATATTCTTATATTGAGTGCAACATTGGATCTTAAAGACTCTTTTAAGTCTTTTAATGTTGATAAAATATGCCATTTGGTGCAAAGGCATTACCCTGAAGACTTCTCTGAACAAGAAAAATATCAACTTGAATGTGAGTTGCAACATTTTTACTTGGATATTTGTGTACGTATGCTATTTGATAAGTTACCTACCTTATCACATCTTTGCCAAGAGTTAACTACAATAGGGAAATTGTCTACATATCCTCTTGTTGATCGATTGATTCGTCTTGTGCTAACTCTTCCTGTCTCTACAGCAACTTGTGAGCGTGACTTTTATGCAATGAATATCGTCAAAACTCAACTAATGAGTAAAATGGAGGATGATTTTCTTAGAGATGTTTTGGTAGTATATACACAGAAAAAGAGATTGTTGTAGGTTTTAGTGTTGAATCTTTAATTGATGATTTTGCTACTATGAAAAATTGTAGAGTACGATTCAACTAATTTTTTTTTGTAACAATAAAATACTAGTACTTTTTAAATTTTTCCATCAATCCTTTGTTCAACAAGTCCGGCCCCCAGGACTTGAAAATCCTGGCTTCGTCCCTGCCTTCTGCTTGTGGTGCACACTATTTTCTGACCCTTGTCGAGGATTTTTCAAGGGGTGTTTGGGTTTACTTATTAAATGACAAAACCGAGGTCTATTCATCTTTTTGCTCATTCTTTGCTAGGATTAAAACTCATTTTGAAGTGTCTGTGAAATGTGTCCGGAGTGACAATGGTACGAAATTTAAACACATGCTTCCCTACTTTAATGAACATGGCATTTTACTTCAAACTTCTTGTGTTGGTATTCCACAACAAAATGGTTGAGGTGAGCGTAAACACCAACATATAATAAATGTGGGTCGTGCATTATGTTTTAGGGAAATCTGTCGATTGATTTATAGGGTGAATGTTTTCTTAGGGCGGTATATTTGATTAATCGTACTTCCTCTCGTTTACTAGACAATAAGACACGGTATGAGGTCTTATTTGGCAAAGAACCTACTTTTGATGAAATGAGAGTTTTTGGTTGTCTTAGTTTTGCTCATGATCAAAGATCCAAAGGTGATAAATTTGCTCCTAGGAGTAGGAAGTGTGTTTTTATTGGTTATCCTCATGGCAAAAAGGGGTGGAAATTATATGATATTGGCAAGGGAGATATTTTTGTGTCGCGTGATGTGCAATTTCATGAAAATGAATTTCCTTTTGCTAGTGTTAATAGTAATAATAATGTGGTTGCTCCTGATGCAAATGAAAATAATGTGGGGATTGACCATGAGTTGTTGGATGATTTGGAGTTGGTCTTAGAGGTGAGTGAGGAAGCCAATGCTACAAATTATAATGTGGAGACTTTGGAAGAGACAAGTAGTCCGCTCCGCAGTCCTCATGTGGAGAACGCTGCTAGCCACGGCCAGCCCGTGGCACCTGTTGCCATCCATAGTGCAGCAGCTACTGGCAGCTTCTCTACTACAGATGCTACAATTTCTGCCGACACTTTTCTTCCGCTTGATTGTGGTACACGTGAGCGTCGTCCATCGGGTTGGCATCAGGATTATGTTGCACATACTATATCTCTTCCGAGTGCATCTATCTATCCCAGTTCACTGCTCAATCCAAGCTCCTAAGTTACTCCTTATCCTATAGCACATTTTGTGAATTGTGATAAATTTTCTTTGCGACACTGTGTATTTGTTGCAGTTGTAGATACGGTGGTTGAGCCTCGTAATTTTAAATAGGCTATGCAACATGAGGGGTGGGGAGAGGCTATGCAAAAAGAAATCTTTGCCTTGGAAAATAATGAAACTTAGGTAATGTAAGAATTACCTTCGGGGAAGAAGGCTCTCGGGTGCAGATGGGATTACAAGGTGAAACATAATTCAGATGGCACAATTGAAAGATTGAAGGCTCGACTTGTTATTTTCGATAATAATCAAGTCGAAGGTATTGATTATAATGAGACATTTGCACCTGTATGTGGTCACCGTTCGTGCTTTCTTAGCTGTTGTTGCTGCTAAAAATTGGAAATTACATCAAATGGATGTTCATAATGCCTTTCTTCATGGTGATCTTGATGAGGAAATCTATATGAAGCCTCCTCTCGGATTTCATGGTTCTCAACATGGCATGGTATGTCGCCTACAAAATTCTTTGTATGGCCTTCGACAAGCACCCCATTGTTGGTTTTCCAAATTGTCTAGCTTTCTCAAAAGGTATGGTTTTTAGCAATCGTATTCCGATTAATCTCTATTCACTCTGAATCATGAGGCTATTCATCACAGTGTCCTTGTGTATGTTGAAGATTTAATCATTTCGGGGAATGATTCTTCTACAATATCTGCTTTTAAATCATATTTGAGTGATTGTTTTTATATGAAAGATTTTGGTGTGTTAAAGTACTTTTCTTGGTATTGAGGTTGCACAAAGTCCGGAGGGCATATTTTTATGTCAAGGGAAATATACTCTTGATATTATTGTTGAATCATGTTTACTAGGGGCATGACCGACCGGTACTCTGATTGAGAAAAATCATACACTAGCTAAATCAGAGACACCTCTTATTGATGACCCCGAAATGTATCGTCGTCTTGTGGGTCGTTTGATCTATTTGTCTTTTACTAGACCTGATTTGGCTTATAGAGTTCATATCTTATCTCAATTTATTCAACAACCTCGTCACAATCATTGGGAGGCAGTACTTCGTGTGGTACGCTACTTAAAAGGTTGTTCGGGTCAAGGGATGCTTTTGGGTTCAGATTGTGATCTACATTTGAAAGGATGGTGTGACTCGGATTGGGCTAGTTGTCCTTTGATGAGACGGTTGATTTCTAGTTCGTTGGTGTTTCTTGGTGGTTCTCCGATTTCTTAAAAGACCAAGAAACAACATATTGTCTCTAAGTCTTCTGTAGAGGTAGAGTATCATTCAATGTCGGCAATTACTTCAGAGTTGAAATGGTTGAAGGTGCTACTTGACAGTTTGGGAGTCTCGTATCCACGTGCGATGAGCTTATTTTGTGATAGTCAATCAGCGTTATATATTGCGCAGAATTCGGTCTTTCATGAACGCACCAAGCATATTGTTGATTGTCATTATGTTAGGGATGAAATTCAAGAAGGGGTTATTAGTCCGTCTTATGTGAAGACAACTTAATAACTCGCGGATATATTCAATAAGGCCTTAAGCAAACACCAATTTTTGTATTTACTTGGCAAGTTAGGCATTTGTGATTTGCATGCTCCAACTTCAGGGGGGTGTTAAGCCTAATATTTTATAGTTAATGGGCCAATGTTACCGGCCCTAATATCTTGTTAGGTTGTATATATATACTTGTTCATAAAGTAATACAACTAAGGAAAATCAATTCCTGACATACTCGTTGAATAGAATGACTTAAAATTAATTAACAAGTTTGAAATAGACTTAGTTTATATTATAAACATGTTTAATTAAGTTTAACTTTTATTAATTGATTCACATCCAATAATCATTCACAAGCTACTCATTTTAGTGCTCTCACTTGGATTCTGAATACTTAATCCGGGATTCCTATAATGTATAGGGTGTACCTTGAATACATGAGTACATGACTTACTCCTTTAAGTCCCCTCACTTAGATGATTAGTTAGTCCAATACCCCTTTAATCTATACAATTTGCACCTTGGATAACACGACTTACTCCTTTTAGTGCCCTTGTGTTGACTCTTAAGTGATTTTGATGATGATGTTGATGATTGAGCAAACTTCTATCTAATAAGAGTTTACTAGTGTTTTGATGTTTGCAGAATAAGTAAACGCTGGGAGTAAAAGTGAGGTCTGGAACAGAGGAACTTAAGAAGACTAAGGATGGCAAGTAAGATCAAAGGAAGAGTTCCAGAAAGAAGTTCTCTGAACAAAACTAGATGGAACTACAAGGTGTTCCCTAATAGGAACATATCAAGGGCTCTCTAACAGAAGCAAGTTCCAGTGTAATGATGGAGAAAGAAAGACAACAGGTTGTAATGACTTAGTCTGCGAGTTCCAGTGTAATGATGGAACATGACTTCAAGAATCAAAAACCAATGCAGAGCTCGAGATATCAATCATAAAGATGAACTTCATAACTTAGGTTGTATTAAAGGTAAGTTTTTTATTTAGGGTTGATATAAATATATGATTGGTTGATATGCATGGAACTTATTGGAAATCAGATAAAAAGTTATACCGCAATTGCACGGTGTCTGTTGTTAGCAGAGACTTAGAAAATACGGGTCGAATTCCACAGGGAGACAGGTTCTATTAGTTTTTGCCCAATTATTATAAACTATTTGAAAAAATGAAGAGTGATTTGATATCAATTAACTAAACTAGGAAAATAATGAAAATAAGGTTGTTCTCAAATAAATAAAGGTCTAGGACATACGTTCGGTCCACCATGCTTATACCAATCCAAGAAATGCAAACAATTCATTGATAAATAAACTGGGTAGAATAATTAAAGCACATGTTAATCCTACGATCGGGAATTAACGCTTATGAATTAACATATGTAGTTCGGTCGCTAACTTAATCAAATCCGCCAATTGTAATTAAGCCTCTACAAATATGATCTTTCAATTCTAATTTTTATTAGCTAAATAATCAACTTATGATATTGGCCAAATACATGAATCAAACAATAAAGCACAAATCAATTGGAATCATTCAAACCCTGATTCATAAATTTATAAATAATTAAGCACAAATAATCAAGGTATAAACATAGCTTCCCTCACTTGGCCCTAGAAAACGAGTACTCACTCAAAATTGAAATAAACAAAACTAAAGGAATAAATGAACTTGAATTCATAATTAATCAAATAAAAGACGAAAGATTGAATGAAATACCTCAAATATTAAATTAATGAATAACAATAAACTAGGGTTCAACAATGGAGTAGAAAACTAAAAGAACGTTCAAGCATAAAATAAAGCATAAGAGAAGAAATAAAATCCTCTCAAGTATTTATATTAAAACCTAATCCTAAGCTAATTAAAATAGAAATAAATAAATAAAAATATAAGCTAGAATATTATTGGATAATAAGCGATGACGTAGCATGTGAATACGAAAGATAAAGGTGACTCATCGCTGCTCGGGATTTTCTAAGGCTGCTTGTGGCATCAAGATCCCTCGCCAAAACCCGCGGGCGCAGGGCTGGTGACCGCGGGCTGGCAGTAGCTGCAGCTTGCCTCGAGTGGGCGCTAGACAGACCCACAGCAATATATCCCTCAGGTGGCTGACTGCATTACTTGATTCAAACGTCTATAACGTTTGTTCTGGGAAACGTCTTGGGGCGTGTGACCTATCATTCGAAATCTCTTTAAATCTAGTTTCTAATGCAATTTGAATCGCTTCAATCCAATCTGTAGAACT